ATGCAGGAATCCCTAAGGTATGCTGACTTTAATTCCTTCAGGTATTCAGTAAAGAGTGGTATAGCTGGATCAAATGATAGCTTTTAGTTTTTTGAGGAACATCCACTGATTTCCAGAGATTGTACTAACTTGTATCCACCCTCCCAGCAGTGTATACATATGTATGTATTTGTGTGTGTGTGTGTGTGTGTGTATGTATACATATATATACACATACATTTTTTTTTTTTGTATTCTTTATAATGGCCATTTGGGCTGGGGTGAGAAAAAAATCTTAATGTAGTCTTGATTTTCATTTCCGTAATGGCTGAAGATATAATAGAACATTCTCTCATATATACTTATTGGTCATTTGTACTTCTTCTTTTTTTTTTTTTTCGGTTTTTGGTTTTTTTTGAGACAGAGTCTCACTAGGTAGTTGAGACTGACCTGGAACTCACTATGTAGGCCAGGCTGGTCTCGAACTCACCGCGATCCTCCTGCCTCAACTCCTGAGTGCTGGGATTACAGGTGTGCACCACCACGCCCAGCTCATTTGTACTTCTTTTGAGAAGAGTCTGTTCATTTATTGAGTTATCTGATATTTTGGTGTTAAGTTTTTTGAATTCTTTAAATACTCTAGGTTTTTTTTTCTTTTGTACTGGGGATCAAACTCAGGACCTTGCAGTTGAGGTAGGTGCGGTGCCACTGAACTAAATCTCGGGCCCTAAATACTTTAGATATTAGTTCTCTATAAGTACAGAAGCTGGTAAAAATTTTCTCCCATTCTGTACGATGTCTCTTCACTCTGTTGTTTCCCTTGCTGTGAAGAAAATTTAATTTGATATCTCATTTATTGATTCTTGCTATTATTTGTTATGCTTCTAGAGTTCTATTCAAGAAGTCTTTGCCTGTTTCAAGGGTTTCCTCAATGATTTCTATGAGTAGTTTCAAAGTTTCAGATGTTATACCTAGGTCTTTGATCTATTTTCAAAGACAGGAATTAGGTGCCATCTTTTAAAAATGGATGTCCAGCTTTCCTAGCACCATTTGTTTAAGAGACTGTTTTTTCTCAATGTATATTTTTGGCTCTCTTGTCCAGAATCAGATGGCTGTAGTTGTGTGTATTTGTTTTTGTAACCTCTGTTCCATTCTATTAGTCTACATGTCTATATTTGTGCCGGTATCATGCTATTTCTGTTACTATGACTTTGTAATGTATGGTTTTTTGTTTTTTTTTTTTTTTTGGTACTAGGGATCAAGCACAGGCAGTAGAACCACAGAGCTAAATCCCCAGCCCTGTAATGTAATTTAAATTGGGTATTGTGATGTCTCCTGCCTTGTTCTTTTGCTTAGGATTGCTTTGGCCATTCTGGGTATTTTGTTTCCATACACATTTAAGTATTGTTTTATTTTTTTCTATGAAGAATGTCATTGGTATTTTGATCTAAATCTAGAATCTAAATCTGTAGATTGCTTTTGGTAATCCAGTCATTTAAACAATATTAAAATCCATGCCAATTCATGAACAAAGTCTTTCCATCTTCTAATGTCCTCTTCAATTTTTTTCCTCAGCATTCTGAAATTTTTATTGTAGGGTTCTTTCACTGCCTTGGTTAGACTGATCCCTAGATGTTTACTTGAAGTTATTTTGACTAGACCTGTTTTCCTCACTTCTTTCTTAGTCCATTAGTAGTACAGTACAGGAAAAGCTACTGACATTCTAATATTAATTTTACACGCTGCTACTTTGCTGAATTTGTTTATCAGCTCTAATTCTTTTGGTACTGTCTTTTGAGTCTTCAAAGTATACAAAATATTATCTGCAAAAAAGGATAATTTGACTTCTCCCTTTTCTATTTGTAACCCTTTTCTTTCTTTCTCTTGCCTAATTGATCCAGCTAAAATTTCAAGAATTATATTGGGTAGGAGTGATGAGTGGACATTTTGCTTTGTTCCCAATATCTTTACATTTTTAATTTTCCAGGCACATCTGCATCACCATGCAAAGTATTTCCTACAGTAGATACTATAGTTGACACTGAACTTCTAGTGAGGATTCTCAAGCTTCTGAATCTTCCAAATTGAACTGAAAGGGCACTAACCAAATGAATGAGGCCAGCAAGAAATTAAGATTTACTTTAAGAAAATCTGAATATTTCTAATAAAGTGAAGACCACAAAAAAAAGCTCAGTTTTCAAATTATTTAGGCTTCTATAGAACTTTTTTTTTCTGTGCCTGTCCTTTCTTATATTTTTTCTTCTCCTTTTTTTCAAGCAACATTAATAACTACCACTTTTTCTTGAGAAAGGAAAGCATTTCAGAATTGCTACAAAAACATTTAAACTGTTAAATGGATGAGATCATAATCTTAAGTGAATAAATTGAACACAGACGTTTAAATACTGCATTGTTTCTCTGGTGTGAAAAACTAAAAGTGGAATAAGGACCAAAATGTGTAACAGATATTGAGAAATGAGGAAAAAAATATTTAAATGAGAAGAGGAACAAGGTAGGGGGAAAAGGAAAGGAAAGAAGGAATAAGGTAAAAAAGGGAATAGAAGGAAAAATGCCAACAAAACTCTTGTAAATAAGGAGGGAAAGAGGGGTGGGGGGTGACAAGATATATTATGTACAGGTACAAATTCATTACAATGAATGCTATCATTATGTACATCTAAAGTGTACCAATAAAGGTTATGCTTAAAAAAAAACATTTAAGCTGTATTATGTTCATCATTCTTAACATAATCTCTCTGACCTCTTTCCAATCAAAATAACTTTGAGAAGTATTTTAGAAAAAGGTACATCTTTTTGTTTCAGAATTAACAGCAAAAAATTATGAAAGAGCCAGGTGTGGTGGCACATGTCTGTTATCCCAGTACTTGGGAGGTTGAGGCAGGAGGACTTCAAGGCCAGCTTGAACTACATAGTGAGACCCTGTCTCAAAAGCTAAAAAACAATTTATGAAAGAAAAAAGGAACAAAAGAAATATCAATTCAAGGGTTCATATATATAATGCTATGATGCCTTTTTCTGGCAGGGAAAAGAGATCACTGAGAAGCTTGGGATTAAAGTTCCCTGGTCTGCTGGTGGTATTTTCCATTGCAAGACCCTAAGAACTAACAGGTCAAGCCAAGAGACCCAGCCTTTTTTTTTGAAGAAGTAAATATTTACAACTTGTTCTCACAGAGCAAGCTATCAGCCAAAATTAGTACTTATCTCACTAATCACTTATAAAATCCATTTTAGGAGAATTCCCTTCTCTGTAGGGAATTAACAAACTGGCAAAGATATGCAGTTTCAAACCATGGAAAAATACTGCATTTGTAAAAGCATGGCCCCCCTTCTATCATAACCAGATACATCTTCAGTTTTTTCCTCAATCTCAAACTCTTTCCTAAGTTAACAAACTTTCATTTCAACCTTACTATGTTAGCAAGTGATTTTTTTCCCCCCCTTTGGACGCAGTGTTGCTATGTAGTGCAGGCTGGCCTCAAACTCACAAGTGATCCTCCTGAGTCAGCCTCGAGTGCTGGGATCAGAGGTGTGCACCACCATGCCTGGCTGTGTACCCTTGGTCTTACTACAGCATTAGTAACTGAGGAAAAATATATGGAAAGAAAACTAACTTTATAAACCACCTGGCCAAAGATAACTCAAAGTTTAGAGTCTCACATGTCTATAAGAAAATAAGTTGGACTCATCTTTTTTTCTTTTCTTTTTTCAGTACCAGGGATCAAACTCAGGACATTGTACTTAAGAGACAGGCACAGTGCCGCTGAGCTACACACATCCCTGGGGTTGGACACATCTTGAATTTCAAGTTTTTAAAATTTAGATGTATATAACTATGATCAGAAAATCACAATTGAATTTCAAAGGTAATAAAGATACAGTAAACATAAAAGGTTATTAGGAAAAGATATTTTAGAGAAAAAAAGTCTCCCAAAGAACATGATAAAAATATATGATAAAAATATACTACGATCATTAAATTAAGCATTTACCAAAAAAAAAAAAAAAAAATCAAGATTGAGTAAAATAAAACTGTCTCAATATCCAAGAGCTAACAAAAAGAGCTATTTTTGTGCAAATGTAGTCGGAAAGCAGGCAGTGTCCCTCTTTAAATCCTTCTTTCCTATCTCAGAGAATACCAAATGCACCTGCAGAAGGGTGAAGCGCAGGTGGGCAAGGAAAAAGCATAGGCTCTGAACCCAGAATGCCTGAGCCTCCCGGCTCTGTCACTTGCTAAATGTTTCAGATTCATGTGACTTAACCTCTCTGAGCCTCCACTTCCTCATCTGGAAAATAAAGACAATAATATCCACCTCACAGGGCTGATGTGAGGCTAAACTAAGTTATGCCAAGTGCTTATATAAAAGCCTGGTGCAAAGTAAAACGGTGACATGCTAGCTTAAACTCAGCTTCCACTCTGAAGTCCTTATGATATATCACACATCCAATATTTATCTATATCTCCAATGTAAAAAGGTGACCGAAGTAGTTGAATGTGTAGCCATACTGTTACCTGTCACATTTGCCTATTGGCAAGCTCTTCCCAATTGATCTGCTTCCCACGAGGAGCTTCCAGGACTCTGCAGAAGCAGCCAGGGCTCCCAATGGTTGTTCACACCAATCTTTCCAATGTAAACCCTTAACACCAGCCTTGAAAAAACTTAAAAACAGACTGATGTAGCCACTGGCCCTGACATAACATCTCAGGCATTCCATTCCCCCACTGCTTCTAACTGAATCCAAACTAGAATCATCAAAGTCCTCTAAGGACCAGTATAAGAACCTTTTCAATGATTCTGCTTTTCTTTGAACTCCTATGTGAATATTGCTCTTGTAGGACTCACCTGGAACTTATGAAATACATGATTAGGTCTGGATGTGGTTTCACTTCTCTTAAGACTATAAAATATTCTGGGATGCAGATTAACTCTTTCTCAATGATGTGCCAATAGTAGAAGCTCACTTAAAATTCTCTACATTATGAAGAATTGAAACAATCTTACCTGAACTGTTACAACTGCTGCTCCTTGGCATTTCTTACCCCCACTGCCTTTACACTCCAAATGTAGTGTGGTCTGCTCTTCTCGATTAACATACTTTTTGGGCATTGTGTCCAACAGCTCACTATCCAGGACAACCTGCTGAGATTCCCGAAGAGCTGCAGTTCTGGAAGACATCCCAGAAGGTAGGTTAAAGTTTTTCAAAAGGTTATATGAAAAGTAATAAGTTTCCAGTTTCCAGCATTACAACACAGTATTCTACACTAACAAAAAAATAAAAGGTACAAACATGTGCCAAGATTTAGACAAATCCTTTCTTCTCACAGAGCAAAACCCAGAAGAAATAAAGAAAAAGTGTTAATGAAAAAGTGGCACAACTTTTTAGCCAGAAACAAAATTTCACTTAGTGCTTATGTTGTATCAACAAGACTTTTTAATGGACCTTGAAGTATATAAGAACAAGTGGCCTAATTTAATCATTCAAAAAGGGTGCCATATATGCCAGTGACATTTTCAGTATTAACACTTCAAACTGAAACCGCGGAAGACCAAGACAGCTAAATGTGAGTGGTACAGCACATGTACAAGGCCCTGGATTCAATCCCTAGCACTACCAAGGGGGTGTGGGGGCAAAGTTAAATATATGCATGAGATATGAATAGTATTTTAACTATATTCTTTGTTATTATGTTAATGGGCAGATGCTCTTCTGCACAGACAACATATATCTAATAAATGTCTGGAGTAATTTTTATTTCCAGCCAAGGGAATATGATGTCAATGAAAAATGATTTCAATGGGATTTGTAAAGTGTAGTGGTAGAACAGTCACTGAGCACATGTGAGACCCTGACTTCAACCTCCCATAACACAAAAATAAATAAATAAATAGGCTTATTGACTATCAATGAAACGTACACCTCCACATACACTCCTTCTCACAAAACTACAAGCTAGAATAAAATCCTTAAGCAGTTGATTATTCTGTATCTACCATATAACTCAAAACACTAAATGTCTCTCTCACATTTTGTTCAAGTTTTTAAAGGAATATAGTTAAGAGAGCAAAGCAGTCAGGTGTGGTTGTTCACACTTGTAATCCCAGTACTCTGGGAGAATGAGGCAGAATTTCTGATCACAGGTTCGAGCCCAGTCTGGGCAACTTTGTGAGACTGTCTCAAAATAAAAATAAAAAGGGGTCGGGGCTGTAGCTAAGTACTGGCAGGGGGTAGGGGAAGAGAGAACAAATTAGTGATAAAAGAAAATAATCTCATTTCACCCCTTTCAACACCATCTTCCTAGTATCAGGTTTCCTCAGGAAGAATAAGAAAGTCTCAGCCAGCACTGTTGACACTCCATAATGCCCCTGGCAAGAACAGGTAAGAATGGCAATCCCAGAACTCAGGAGGCTAAGGCAGGAGGATCGCTGTGAGTTCCAGACCAGCCTGGACTGCATATTGAGTTCCAGGTCAGTCTCAACTACATAGTGAGAGCCTGTCTCCAAAAAAACAAAAAAAGAAAAGAAAAGAAAAAGAATGGCAGCCCATGAGAACACCCCTAATTTCCACGTGAGATCAAAAGACTTGTCATAAGTCTGTTCACCAAGTGAACCATCTGTGATAGTCTGGCCAAATTAACCTTAGTTGAGAAGGCCAACCAGGTACTAACTAAATCCTCCAGGCTATCAAAAAAGCAAGCATGGAACACACTCATTGAGCCCTCAATAGTCTTACCTGGCCTGCTGTTGCAGGAGATTCAAATCTGCACACACAAGCTGGGTGGTGTCCTTCTGACTCAGGAGCACCTCTGAGGAAATAACTGGCACAGGAGGCCTCATGGGATGCAGAACAAGGGGAGGACGGGGAACCTCGTGCTTCCGCAGGTTATTTAAAACCCTTTCTTTGGCTGAAAGAAAATTAGGTCATACATACTCAGTAACAAGTACTACTACATAATTATATTTATTACAATTATATATTCATTATTATAAATTATATATTCGGTATTATTATATATTCAATATTATATAATAATGAATACAAGCGCCAGGGATGAATAGCTCAGTGGCACTGCACCTGCCTGGCAAGAGCAAGGTCCTGAGTTCAATCCCCAGTATCTGAAGTAAAAAACAATGAATACAAAGGTGTGGCACATTAATTTCACCAAAAATGCTGGAGATCTCCAGAATAGTTCCTTAAACCACAGGCCTAAATGAACAAAATCACTGATTTTGATTCTTGTGAGTTTTAAGGGAATATTTACAGGCTTTACATTATTCTACTAGGAGCTCAGGATACATGGTACAATTAAATAGAAGTATCCTCAAAAAGTTCATAGTCTAATAGTTGCTCAGCAGCAAAAGCTCATGATCTTAAATAACTATACTGCTCCTGACAGCCCTGCATGACAGGGGAAGAAGTGTGGACTTGATGTCAGTGAAGATGTTTTCTGGGGAGGAGTTCTCAGCAAGGTAATAGGTATAATCTGGACAACAGATGGGTGAGTGAGGTTGGTCCAGAGTAGCCCAGTTAAAGAGTTTAATATACCACCCAGAGAAGCTCCATAGGAATAACAGAAAAAGGAATGAACATTCTGGAATAGAGCTGATGGAAATTGATCTGAAATTGAATCAAGGTTTGAACAGGAGGACTGGAAGTTTAAGACTATAAAATATTCTGTCTTATGAAGACATGAGCATAAACTCTGTTAGCGCCTATATTTATGCAGTCACACAGTCTTGTTCATTCACTCAAGAAATGACGTACAGAGCCAAAATAAGCAGTCCAGTGCCATATTAAAAAAAAAAAAAAAGGTGTCTCTGTACCATGCAACTCTGTACTAGATCACAGGGTCTCAGAATGATTCAAATTTGAATGTTTCTTATTTCTGTACCTAATACAAAGCAATATACACACTAGATGTCCAATGAATTCCTATTTCCTCTTCCTCCTTACACACTATATCAACAACAGCAGGTGGGAACTGAAGAACGTGAAGGAAAATGCTGCTGCAAGCCTAATTCTTTTCAGTAGTAGTAAGACAAGAGAGGAAGGGAGAGGTCAAGGAAATTTCACGTCAGTCAAGTAAACAAGTACTTTAGGGACTACCATGAATTTCCGATTTCATTCCAGGTGTAACATTCAATTTCCTATTCTTGTTGAGAAAAATCAAAGAAAATTTAATAGCCATGACTTTACTTGGTATAACAATACCTGTGCACTGTTTGTACCCCAAACAGATGGAAGTAAACATTCCAAAAAGGTCAAGTATGGCATTGCCCCATATAGCTGGTATTTTTCCACTAGAGTCACCTCACTGAACAGATGTGGCAAAGCTGGACATTCATCCTTGGGTAAGACTTGTGACTATATTAAAGTTTCTTTCAAGCAACATTATAGGTCATGACTCTAAGGGAAAACTGGGAACTGTTTCAAACACAGTATCTTAACACGAATAAAAAAAAAATCAAGGAAAATGTTTCAAATACAAGTAAAAGAGAAAAAAAAAAGTATATTTAACTGTAATGACTGCCCCAGATCACAATGACAAAAATAAATTTAGTTTAAGAAAAAGAACTTGGTGTCACAAGTGTGCTGGTCAAATTTTTTCTGTAATCACAACCAAGAGTTCAATAATTTGACAAGATTGTCACTTAACCTGTTTTTTTGAGGAAAAAAACCTGAAACTTATTATTTAGAAATCTAAGCTCTAATTCTGTTTGGAATGGCAACCTGGATTGACAACCAGAAATAGGGAGGGCACTCACTGATGAACAGCAATATCTTTGGAGCCAAGCAGCTCTGCCCCATTCAAGCTCTGTGGCTCATACGGGCCAAGTGCCCAACCATCTAACACTCTGGGTTCCTTCTCTACTCGATGGGGATAACTGCACGGGCTTACTGAATTAACGTACAGTGCTAGGACATGCAGAACAAACTAAGGGCTTCATAAACTACTAAGAGAAAAAAGTCTTCTAGGGTAGTATTCAGAGTAATATGAAAGCACCACAGACAGACTGGCATGAACAGAAGGCATTAAGAGGTACCAACTAACAGGTTGGCTGGGGCACAGGTAGAGTAAGAGAGTATATGTGCCTTTCCCAGAATCACTTCAATGTTATATTACACTATTTGTCATAGTATTGTGGACAAGAACTGTAATTGCAATTTTATTACTCAGTAATTAGCTAGGCATGGTGGTGCATACCTGTAATCCCAGCACTCTGGGAGGCTGGGACATAAGTTCAAGTCCAGCCTGGGCAATTTAATGACTTAGCTAGATGTTATAGTAGAATAAAACATTTTAAAAAGGGTTGGGGATATAGCTAAGAGCAAATGTTCAATCCTCTGTACCAACAAACAACATTTTCTATTATTTTGTTGTGAAGTGTTTCAGCATCTTTGTAGATTAAATATTCTTTTTATGGCCTTCTACAGAGAACTAGCTGATAATTCTAGAAAAATACAGTGAGAAGCAACTTGGAAACTTTAGGAATATGATCTGTTTACACGGTAAGCATTCCAGATACAGAGAAAAAAAGTTATGGAAAACACAGACTTTTGAATGTTAAAACTGGAAACCCAAAATAATTAACATTTAAAGTTGCACTTAATACAGAGTTTTATAATGAAATTAAAAGCCTTTTCAAAGCATCACACAAGAAATGAACTATGAGCATTCCAGCCTCCTTTTCAGAGAGGAATAGTCCTACGTCTCAGTTTGGGGTAATGAAGTATAAAGGAAAAGTCTGTGAGCTGCTTCTTGAAGAGTTCTTTTAGGGAAACACTCCTTCCTGCTGACTGGAGTGTGAATGTGAAGGGAACAACTTAAGCAGCCACCTTGAACTGAAGTAGATGCTACTGTGAGAACACCAAAGCAGCAAGATGGGAGGATCAAGTTCCTTACTTAAAGTTCTGCAGAGGTTGGGCCAGGGATATAGCTTAGTGGTGCCAGGCCTGCCTGGCAAGCACAAGGTCCTGAGTTCAATCCCTGGTACCACACACACACACACACACACACACACACAAAAGTTCTGCAGAGGTCATGAAGCTGCCCTGCTGCTCTAAACTGCTTATTTCCTTCTTTTATATGAGAGAAAATTAATCTCTACCTTGTTTAAGCCAATACAGATTTGGACTCTCACTCACAGCATAACTCAGCCCTAAGTGGTAGACAATTTAACAACTTCTAAAAAGCAATTCTCACTGTAGGAATAAAGTGCGCAATCCTTAACCCTTGATGGCTCTGACTGATTGACAGATTGATTAATTAATTTCATTCGTTCATTCAAAGGGGCTAATGCTCAGATGACTCACCCAACCACGGATCAGTGAAGTCCAGCTGCGCTAACAAGCTGCAGGGTTTGGTATGGGACTCAAGCTTGGCCTGTGTCCAAAGATTAACAGTTTCCTGGAACTCATGATATATGCGTTCCATGTTCAAGTACTCCATCCACAGATCCTGCAATGAAACCACAGCACTTCAACTGACAGACAAATCATACATTCACTTAGAATACTATGCATGTAACTATAAAGTAAACCAGTAAGTTTCACTATGACATGGTCTACTCCAAGTGCTCTCGCATTACGATGGTTATATTTAAAATGGCCACTAATAATCTTAGTAGTTGCAGAACTTTTCAACTGTGTATTGACTAAACACTTTAAACAGACTTATTATATGTATATTTATAAGCTGTATACATATTCTATGGAGCTAATAAATTATGTGCATATAAGACACAGGCAAAAAATAGGACACTTTGAAGAAAAAGATTAAAAGTGTGTGTATATATATATGTATATATGTATATGTATATGTATATGTGTATATATATAT